AGACTATTCTTCTTAGTAGTACAATGTTGGTTTTGGATTTTTTGTAGAACTTGAGAAGAAAAAGAAAAAGAAAGAATGTGATCGGACTCATCTTTTATAAACATAATGAATTGAGTCTTCTTGGATGTGTAACCATTTAGATCAATTATAAAAATATGTGATTAGTTTCGTTATGACCCGTGATACTGGAATCAAACAAACTAATGTCTGCACAACGTATATGTATAACGCATGATGTATTGTTGCAGACATGAAATAACAACCTGCTACCTGTGAAGAGGAGAATCAGAGATGAGAATGTAAATCAGAGACAATCGTCAGCAATGTGGCTGTTTGCCAAGCAGCCATCGACTGCACCCGGATTAGCATCAACGTTGCCTGCGGCTAGAACCAATCCAGCCACGCTAACAACAGCACCACATCGATATCTGTCCATTGATGCCACAGCAACACTAGTGATGACTAAACTAATGAATAGGACCAAAGCCATTGGGCGACCCACCCACCCAGGAGTCACTCTGATAGGGGTGCAGCAGATATGAGAGCCCTCGAATGCTGCAGTGAAGCCTGGGATCCCACAGCACAGCAGCAGAGCAACAGCTGCTGCGAAAGACGATTAGTTAGAGACGAGCAGGAGGGACAGACTTAAGAGACAGAGAGAGATAGAGGGAGAGAGTTTAATCTTATGGGATGTTTGGATGAGTAACCAAACACTTTGAGGTGTTAAATGACTTTTAAAGAAGTGAGTGATGCTCTCACACAGCCTTCTTTGAGGTTATATGTGACAGTGGTTATAATCAGAAATGGCACAGAACTTTTATTCCGCTATACTTTCAAGGATGCACATTTATTTTCAAGAATTCCAAATGCATTACCATTCTTTTGGAAGTGCAGTTAAAGTTTAAAAGGGAAGATGATGGCACAGATATGTCTTAACTAGACAGAAAATGTGATTAACATTTCAGACATGCACAGTTTTTCCAGAGGGGCTGTGTTCGAAAAAACGCAAAAGTCAGATTCAGTTGCTCCGGACATTTCCATGAACTTTTCCAAGTGAGTGAGCGATGTTTCTATAATGTGAATCTGGCAGACAGAGGCCAAAGTTCTCATGCGAGCTCATGTCCTGCCTCTTGCAATGTACTGGAAATGTTCCTTGTCTTGTGAACATGTCTGACTCAGTCTTTGTATTTCTGAAAACCGATAAAGAGAGAAATTATAATCAAACCAGAAAAATAAATGGTTTAAAGGGATAGTTCACTATCACTTTGAGACAACAAAACACTTTTGGAGTTTCAGGGGTAAACATTGTAGTAGCCGAATCCAAACACAATTCAAACCAGCGACTTATACTTCAGAAGTAATAAAACAACAGAAAAAACATAATGTGCCTCATTACTGCTCGTGTGGGTTCATCCAAGTGTCTGCAAGCCCCGACATTCAAATTCAACTTGAAACGGTGTCATCACACCGTATTTTAAGCCTAAATGTCCTCTGATAACTTCCTACCAGGTGCGTTTACGGACCCTCAAACAAACCATCTTGTGACTACATCTGCTAGCTTGAGCCAAAAAGAAAATTTCAACCAATAAAACACATAAGTGGCCAATATTAGCTTGGTTACATGTTGTTGCTGTGTAGCAGAAATTACAGAGACAGTTCACAGGCTAACATAGCACAGATGTATGACAAAAACAAAATGTGAATAGTTTTTTCCTCACGAAAAAGAAACGCAGTTTGCCGTTATCTTGTAATAACCACATGTGGCCACGTCGCCCGCTGTTCAGCAAAAGTTACACAGTCTCACTTTAATGTCAACAAACACAAACGGGCGGCGACACGCAGAAGGAGACGCACCCACGCTGAGAGTGGGAATAAAGTCAGTGTGACAGTGCAGTGAAAAGCCTCCGAGGCAGTGACAGTAACACTGGTAAGCAGGTGGGAGAGGAGCCGTCTGCTCACCAGTCACTGTGCAGGACTGACAGCTAGAACCTCTCAACACACACACACACACACACACACACACACACACACACACACACACA